AAATTATTTAAGTAGTAGATACCTTGAGATTCGGTGAAATTTATTGATGTAAGCCTGGAAGACTGACGGTTGTATCCGATTGTGACAACCATCACTGTAGTTTTGTACTTATCACCAACTTTTGTTCATCTCCCTTTAATTGTAGCAGCCTCAATTGATCAGCGAGGACTTGGAGTGACGTGAGCACCTGCAATTGTGTCAAGTCTGGGCTAAAATTGCACACTATGAGGGTATCAGTGGTGGGACATATTTATGAAACAGAAAAGAGAGAAGTGACAACAATCCAGAACGTCATTTTGAACAATTCGATTCTCTTTAAAACTGGGCGAGGCTTTTAATCCTTCGATGCCGAGGAGGAGGAAATGGAATGTTTTTGCTTCCAAAAAAATGTGGAAGCATTTTTGTGAATTTTTCCAAAGCTTATGAATACCCAGTTGTCATTATCTCCTGATTTTTTTTTCTTGTCAATCAAAATGTTCATATGCTACTAATGGAGGTTAAATAGTAAATGCTGAATGCACCAACTCAAAATAATAAGAAAATGACACATTTTAGAGAAAAAAGTTGGAGATTGCGGAGGCCTTGACCTTAAAGAAGCTGTAAAAATTAATCGTTTCAAGATGGAATGTATATTTTCCTCACTTATCAGAAAGCAATGCAGCTGCTGCACCTACAACTTTATTCCTTTTCTTCCCTCTAATCCAGAGGAAATTCATAAGGATGTTCCTCTTCTCAAATCACGACTTGACATTCGACCGATAATCTTTAAGTAGTGGAAACCTTTAAACCCTTCACAATTATTGAGACAAAAGGAAAAAGTAGCCTCTTTCGTGGAGGAAGATTTACAACTCCGATTACTTCTTCACACAGCTCATGACTTAAGAGATGCCTCCTTCGATAAATGCATTCAAAGTCTTAAAAGTTCGACTAAATTAAAGTAGACAGAATCAACTTCCTTTGGTAGAAAAAATGAACTAATTTTATACGGGGGTGAATATACTGTTGGTGGGAGGCCAGTGTGCTTAGCTAATGATCGCACTAGATGACCACTACGGTGTCAGCCTCCTCCTGACTTGCTGTTAGATCCTCTTCGTGCCCATTTAAGGCCGCCAGTTTGTCATTCGACGCCTCCAAAAATGTGGTAATGGTTTAAAAGACCTCCCGCTACTTGTAAATTCCACCTCCAGAGAAGCGATTGTATTGTGCTTGCTTATCAGGGTGAAATTTATTGCCTCAAACTCCCTGGGTATAAGG